TCACCAAACTTCTTCTTTTAATTTCAAAATTCCTTTTTTTTAGATAGTTAGATAATTAGAAATAAGAATCAGATAAGAAAACAAAATAAATAAATAAAAAAATTAAGATAAATAATAAAGATATATAACAAGAAAATAAAGGATAAATACAAAAGATAGAATAGAAAAATAAAAATAATAAAAAGTACAAATAAAAAAGAGCAAATAAAATCCAAAATTCAACAATTGAGCTTAAAGTGAGTCCAAACCTAACTGGTTTGGCCCTTAGAATAAATAAGGTGTTTACAATAATCTCAAAAATTTTGAAAAAAAAAAGAATAGGTTAAAATTCATAATAATTCTTCAAAGTGAGGCTGATCCTAGATTTTTCAAAGGTCTTCAACACTCATTTATTCATTTGAGCTCATTTTCTTCTAGGATTTCTTGTTTCGTTTTGGTATTATGCATGAATTGCTTTTAATTTTACTCTAGACTGCCGTTTTCAAGTTTTCACCCTATAGTTTCATTCTTTTTTATTTCTCTTTTTTTTTTGGATTATTTCACCATGCATTTGAAAACTCAAAATTCATCCAAAACCAAATAATAATGATTTCTTATGGAATAAGCTCTTCAACTTAGGTATCCAAACATGATCAAAATGGAATTTTCAAAGGGTGTAACATTGGCCAAGGTTAAGGTTCAAAAAGAAAAGATAACAAGCCCAAAATATGTTTGAAGGTGATCAAACCAAGAATTTTTTTTTTCACTAAGACATTTGTCCTTTCCACTTCTTAAACATGTTTTTACTTTTTCATCTTTTTCATTTCTTTATCTTTTTCTCTTTTTTTTCTTCACATGTTTCCACTTTTAGCAAGTTGAGTTCAAAAATTTTGAAACTCAATTTACTTCAAACTTGCCCCTTGATTTTAGACATTCTTTACTTGTCCTTAACTTAAGATCTAATATTTTTTCAAATAGATCTTAATTCTTACTTGCCTTCCAGTGTAGACGATTATCCTTGATCAAAGTTTATTTAGAAAGAAAAATCAATAAGTTCAAAAAAGGTTGAAAATTGATATTTTCTTTTAATGAAAGGAAAATAAAATATGGCCATTTATCATATCAAACATGGATACCTATATTTACAAGAAATTCTCGAGAGATGACTTTTTTTTTTCTTCTTGATTTTAGATTCATTTGAATGTCTTACATGCTTAAAGAATTCTTTTCTTTTCATCTTTTTAGACTTTTTTTTTGTAACTCATGCTTAAAATGCATCATCGCAATTGGCTTATTCAAGTAAAGGCCTAATGTAACTATCTTCATTTTCAAGTTTACTCTAGATGTTCATGTAATCTTCATTCAATGACAAAGGAAATGAAAATCACACAAATCAACATATTGAATAAAATGATATTATGGAAGTAGATAATTTGACTCTCTTAGTAAATTTACAATAAGATGTAGGCAAAAGGAAACTTTCAAAAAAGTATAAAAGAAAAAATGGATATTGCACAAAACAAGAAGTGGATCGAGGTTATTGAGAATATATAACTTTTTTTATAGTTATGCCTTTAAAAAAAAATTGAAGAATTTGAGACTTGTGAAAGAACTTAGGTAGTGAAGTGTTTGAAATAGTCTCAACACTTATTAAATCACTAAATCTAAAATCTTTAAGAAAGTTTCTCATGTATTGGCTTATGAAGATTTTCAAAAGATTTTGCAAATTAAATATTTTCATTACTCATAGCCTTAATGAAGATTATTCTCATGGTCAAGTGAAAATTGGCTTACAAAAATTTAGGAATTCAAGCTTTTTGGATGGTGAGGTTCTCAATTATATCATAGCATCAAATCGTTAGTGAAATAACTAGGTACATTCATTCTTCATGCTAATCATTAATTTTTTCAAAATTGTTATCACAAGAGTTTTCCTCTCTTAAAAAAAAAAAAAAAAAACCATTTTCTTCAATAGAAGAAAAAAGATCATGTGGATTTCCATTACCAAACAGTTCTAAACTGAAAAGATTAAAAAAAAAAAATTTAGTATTTACAAATCTCTTTCAATTCACAACAATATGTTGTAATGCTTAATCACTAAAAGCTATTCGTTATGAAAAAGTCCAAAGATAGCTAAGATATCATTTCATGAACAACAAAAATAATTGTATAAATTCATATATGTAATGCATGAAGAAATGAACCTAAATTGTGTAACAAGAAGATAATACAATTCCTAATTCAAAATCTCATTCATTTTTATGCAAACAAAATTCTTTAACAAAAATATAAATATGAAACAAATCACAATAAAAATGAAACATGTTCCTTTCGTGTTTTAATCTTAGGTTATACACTAACAATGGATGAATATGGCTCTAACCTAGGTTGGCTTCTTATGGTCCGTTATATGTTGGGTAGGGATATTTCAAGATACTATTGTTTTTTATTGTCATCTATGCAGGACTAGTAAAATAGCTCAATTCTCACCCATAACAAGTTACAAATAAAAAGGATTTACTTTAAGTGAGAGTGTTTTGCTAGCTCATATGAAGATTATCACTTCATGAGAGTGTAGGTACTCAATCCCTCCTAAAGAAGACAAAGCTAATGTATAAAAATTGTGCATAAATGTACATGTGTAGTGTGTGTAAAAAAACATACAAATCTTTTGACATTTTATTCACAAATTTAGATTTTATACCTTGTCAAATAATTCACTAAGGGATAATACAAAAAAAAAAAAAAAAACATGTTAGTAACCACAAATAAATACACAAACAATCAAAGTAAGACCAGTAAATAAGTCATAAGACAACCTAAGATTAACAACTAGCTTGACTCTCCAATTTTTCTAGTGGAGTTGTCAAACTATTATAATATGTAGGCTTGAGAAATAACCCACTAGACATAAAACATGTGTAGGCCTGAGAAATAACCCAGTAGAGATAAAACATGAGAGTCACCACTAATCTTTTTTATTTATGTGTGATTGCCCACATAAGTAAATCTACCCTCTTTAAACATATCTTAAACTTGACTAAGAGTTCTTAAAAAGGATAGATTCTGGTTTTATAAATAAAAAATGGGTTTGTGAATTCCGTTGCATATAAGAAAAGTTATAACATCCTCGCAATGTCCACTAAGGATGTCAATAGGTAAGGTATAGGGAGGGTAGAGCATTTCCTATTCTCGAATTTTTATATTATACCCATCCCCATACTTATACCTAATAGGTATTTCAAATCTATCACTATCTTTATCCCCGCAAGTATTTAATATGTATAGGTAATCCCGATACTGTTAGCTTTTTAAAAAAAATAAAAACCAAAATTTATATTTTTTAGCTTTTTTATTTTTATCTTGTCTATTTAGGTAAATTTTTATAAATATATATTTATATATTTTTCCAATAAAAATATATTAATTCTAATTAATCTAAAATAAATATTTATATTATTTAATAAAAATCTATTTACTAAATAAATAAAAAAATATATGTAGCATATGGGTATGGGGCGAGTACTTTATTACCCGTCCCTATCTTCGTAGCTAATAAAAATTTAAAATTATAGCTATCTTCATCCCCATACCCATAATGTAATACATATCACTATCCCTATTCGAATAAAAAGTCGAGTTACCCATTGGGTTTAGGTAAGATTGACATCCTTAATGCCCACAAATTGATACCAATTAATATTAAATTATTTTTTAACCTTAATTAACATGGTTTTAACTTATTCTTAGTATTTATTGTTTTTGTTAATTTTAATATTTAAATATTAAAAATATTTTTAGGTTTTTTCCAACACCTTAATCAATCTCATAAAAATATTATTTATCTCAAGAGTATTCGAATAACACATATTTTTTTAAAGAAGCTTTGTCATTGAATTTATTAAATATTTTATGAAAGAAAATTAATTATATATACATGATAAAATACAGAATCAAACACAAAATTTACAACATATAATCACAAATAATTAATTATGAAAGAAAATCACAATTTGTTTCGTTTTTAATTTTTATCTCAAATTAGAAATAAATAAATATTTTTATATTGAGCCTAACTTTTAAATCCTTCCATGCCTTGATTGATTTAAAAAAAACTTTTTTACTTAGAGATTTTCAAGTAAATTACATATATGTAACTTTCTTAAAATTTCATGATTGATCGAATTTTCACTTTTAATGTTTTTTCAATTATATGGTAAAATTTATTAATTTTGAAACAAAATTAATAATAAAAAAGATAAGTTATATAATGTTTAAAAGGAATACATAACGCAAATAGCGGATTTGATCTTGAAATCGATTTTGTTCTATCTAAACGAGTTTGTTTTTTATTTGGAGTTTGGTTTTAGTATTATTAAAAGAAAATATTAAAAGGGTAAAAGAGGAAGATTGAGAAATCAGAAAATTTCAAAAAACAATGAGAAAAGAAAATAAAAGAAAAACAGTTTTTTTAGACTCAAATTAAATTTCACATAATTAAAAAACCATTTGCTTTTGATATTGTCTAATAATATAAGTTTTAAGTATTTGATATTTGCTATGCTGGAAAAGATTTGGAAATAGAATTTCGATAAAGGAACTTTCAATCTCACCCCATAATTTCGTTGACAAATTTATTCTAATCTACTTTTTATAAATAATTTTCTTAACAATTTAAATTATTTGAAATATAAATATTTATTGCATAAGTTTTGTATATCTTGTAATTCCAATATTAGAGTTTTCAACTTAAACTAGTATAAAATTAATTGTAAAATTTAAAATTTTTAATATAAAAATTTAATCTTTAATATTATACAAAACTTTTTTTCCACAAAATAAAAATATAGATTCCATCTTAACCGTATGGTTCATATCACATTCAACAAAAAATTTATTATATTTTTAGAAAACTAAAAGAATAATATTATTCTACTAAAGGTAAAAACTAAATAATTTTAATTTGTCCAAAAAAAAAAATTACAAACCACCCAAAGTTGAAAAATTACTAGAAAAGGTAACAATAACAAGTAGGTAAGTCTTACTGTAGTCGACTCGGAGCGCCGAGGGAATCGACTTCGAACCGCATCGTATCGTAGCCCAGAAGGAGTTTTTTTTCTCATTCAGATTATAGAGATAGAAAAAGCAAAGCAAATCTTTGTTTCGCTCCTTCTCTTCTCGTGACTGAAACACTGTGATAGAAGAGAAAACGAAATCTGTTGGAGTCGTTGAATTCGAAATATATTTCGCGCTGTTTTTTCTATTTCTATATAATTGGATTGCGAGAAGAAGAAGAGAAAGAGCGATGTGGAGGAAGAAGAAGACGGGACAGCAGTGCCGCTTAACCTTCTTCTCCTATTGATTTCTCTTCCCTCCTTCGATGGCCTCTTCTCAGCATCGCTGCGTTTTCGGTCTCTCTCTCTCTCTGATTTGTTTTTGATTTTTTAGATTGTTTTTCTGTTTAATTGCTGACGAAATATTTGCGAATTAGTAAAAATTGTTCACAGGATTTGAATTTTTGTTGTCATTCATTAATTGGTTAATTGATAGAATTTCAATCGAAATTCTATCTTCTTTTCGCTGTTTGGATTAATAAAGTTACTGAATTTTAGTATTTTTTTTTTTTTTTTGGTGGCAGTGGGGAATATACCATATGATGCTACTGAGGAACAGCTTATAGAAATCTGCAGGGACGTTGGCCCTGTTGTTTCTTTCAGGTTTGAATTTTTCTTTTTGAATTTTCCAACTTTCAATTTTAAAGTCTTGGAATTTGAAATTCAATTTGCTTAAAAAATCCAACTTCAACTTGACGTTAACGTTAAAATTTTTTAATGTTTGTAACTATGCCTGAAATGAATTGCTAATGAATACAAAGCATTTCAAGCAAACTGAGCTGCATAATTGTTTTCACTGTTTTAGTTACACATTTGATAGTGATGGTTGGTAATAGTATAATCGTTATGAAATTATGAGGATATGGTTGTTGAAAATTTAAAATCTTTTGACTTTGACACATGTATTGGGATTCAAGTTATTGAGGAACATGGAGTAAAGCTTACACGCTCATTCAGATGCAGAAAGATACATACAGACTCACTTTATAAAATTATTTGGGGTGCATAAATAGGAAATATCTCCATTAAAAATCTTTATCAACTTGACTTGAAATGAGATTGAGTTTTGGAAGTTGTAAATTAGAAATTGAGGAAGATAATTTGACCTGAATTTCCTTTGGATCAAACTGCTTCTTAACAGTTGGATTATTTGCTGGTCCACATTACACATTGAGGTTAGGAAAGCTATCTTTATGATCATTGATAGTTTGTAATCCATAGGTCCACTGAAAATCAAAGAGGATTATGAAAATGGCATGGGTTTTGATAGCATATTAACCACATTCTTTGACATAGATAAAGTTAAGGACATGAAAGTTCAGAAGTTAGAGTGCAGATCAATTTGATTGAGTTGTTCTGAACTTACTTATTTTCATTGTTGTTTACATGCTTTGTTTTTATAATGTTGAAGGACTTGGCCTTGAGCCTTCCTTGATAAAAGCATTGCAAAAAATTTTCATTTTTGCTTGTTTGTGAGGATCAACTGAGTATTGCTTGTTACATTTATCCATACTGTTAAAAATGAAAAAAAAAAAAAAGAAAACTCTCAGATTTCCCAAACAAAAGATATGTGGAGAAGGATTTGCAATCCAGTATCAAAGAGATTTTTCTGTTTTAGAGTCCTTTTTTAATTTCACTCCTTCATTTCAGACTGGTTATTGATAGAGAAACTGGTAAACCAAAAGGTTACGGGTTCTGTGAATACAAGGATGAGGAGACAGCTCTAAGCGCACGACGGAATCTTCAAGGTTATGAGATCAATGGCCGGCAATTACGAGTTGATTTTGCTGAAAATGACAAAGGCTCTGATCGAAATCGAGAACAGGTAAACTTGCCCTGGAGCCTTTTTTCTTCTCTGCATCTTTTATTTTTTGGTCAGAATCATAAATTTGGCACCATTGTAAGTTCCCTTCTTGCGCTGGCATTGTTCTTTATGTGATTAGATGAACATTGGTTTCTGATGATACTAAGGCAGTCAGATAGCTATTTAGTATTTTATTTTTGATTGATGTGAAGTATTTCAGTATTGTTCAATTTAATTTAAGCCTATAAATTTCCAATTTCCTTCCTGCCTAATCAATTTATATCTGTATTTTATCCAGTTATTTCAGTTACCTTGGCTGACTGTGTTTCCTATGTGATATGTATATATCTCAAATTGCTGCTTATGGATCATCTATGCAAATTTTTTATGCTAACACAGCCTCTAATACAGAAAAGGTACTTTAATCTTATGGATGATATAAAATTATGCCAGCTCTTGTGTGTATATTATTTGATAAAGTTCATGAAAATGGCATAAGATTTAGATTTTTAAATTCCTGTATGGTTATTATTTCATTAGGGAATATATTCCAATTCTTAAACATGATATTAACAACTGAACTTTTTGGAAAACGAAAAACTACAACAAACTTGATACAATGCACACATCAATATCCCTTCTAAAAGAAAGTGATAGAAAGGACAAAAAACTACAATGAACTTGATGTAATGCCCCCACATCAATATCCCTTGTGAAAGAAAGAGTGGGTAATCATTTTATCTAGGCAGAGCCTTCTATTTTAGACTTTTAATGCAGAAATTAGAGGTAATGAAAATTGTGATAAAGTTATTTATGTTTATGGATATGTATAGTTTAGATGTACACCCATGGATATGTTTGCTAAATACTATAGTGACAGCCTGGCCTTGTGAACCTTTCAAACTTTATTATCATTTGGCTCAAACCATTCTATTGGAGGATAAGCCTACTGTCATGCTTCATACTAACAAAAAATCTGACTCGCTGTTCTGTAACCTGGGTGGTTCCTGAGGCTTATTTCATTGCAACAAAAGCACATATACATGCATTATCCTACTGCTCAGCATAGTACTTCTTCTGCAGTATAGTGGTTTTATGCGTTGTATTTGATCTTGATTTTATGATTTTTCAAATTAGTTTTTAGTTATAAGCTTACATGAGTGAATTTTGTTTTGTTGCAGGGTCGTGGTGGACCTGGACTGGCAACAAGTGTTGGTTAGCATTTATGTTTCTTTGGGACCATATTCTTTTGCATGAATACAACCTAATTTTTTTCCTTAACTGAGACATCACAGACCCTCAAAAACAAGTAGGAGGCCCAGCAGTCCATGGGGAATCTGTTCAGCAGCAGCCTATTGGTCTCCATTTAGCTATAACTGCTGCAGCCCTCATGACTGGAGCTCTTGGTGGTGTGCAGGCTAGTCTGCTGCCTAATCAAAATGCTTTGCCAAGTCAGTCAGCTCCAGCCAGTGACCCCTTAACACTCCATCTTGCCAAAATATCTCGGAGCCAACTGAATGAAATTATGTCTGAACTGAAGGTGTGCTTTGAGCAATACATACTGTTTACAGAGCTTTGCTCCATTTCGTTAATTAATTGTATTTTTTTATGTCTTTTCTCAACAGAAAATGGCTACACAAAATAAGGAACTGGCTCGTGAGCTATTACTTGCAAAACCTCAATTGCTGAAAGCTATTTTTCAGGTATTTTTCATTGTTTGGTGTTTCTATAAAAGAAAATGCGAAGAGATAATTTTTCTTGTATATATCCTAATTTCCATCTCATAAGTTTTCATCCATAGTCGCTTTCTTTTAAATACCCTAAATTCCAAAAATAAATGAATTTATTGCTATTAAATCAAGCCTTTTATGTTTATAAGCTGCACGAAGAAAGCACTAGATGGGGTTTAAACTTGTATTCATCTTAGTAATAATGCCTCAAATTTATCATTAATTTATCTCTAGGAAGGAATTTGAACAACTCTCTCTCTCTCTCTCTCTCTCTCTCTCCCCCTGAGGAAAGGAGTTGCAGGTGGTATATGTTAAGAGACATTGTTTCTATAATTGACAGATAATAGAAATACCTTTCCACCAGCAATACAGGTGTTCGGTATAACCAGTTGATTAGTTTTGCTTCAATATAGAGATGCAGTGGCTCTTAAAGCAGATTTGCAAAGGTGGTCAAAACTTGACCATTTATCCCTCTACCCTGAGAATAATAAAAAGTTATGAAGAACCTTCTCATTCTATTGTTAATCAACATTCTTCTGCTTAGGATATCCGAAAAATCCTAGTTGAGTTCTCTTCTTGCTTTTTGTAAAGATTGTCATGATTTTTTATGATGTCTCCATAGGGACCTTTTCTGGACCTCTTGGTGGATAATTACTATAAATGACCCTTTTATCTCTTTTAGGTTTTTATTTTTTCCATCTCCAAAAAATCTTATATACTGGTGGCGTGGACTGGTGTCCTTTGTAACCCTAAGTGGAACATACAATTTCCATATAATGAGGTGCCACTTCAAATTCCCTTTTTATGTTGACAATCCTCTGATTTATCTTCCTTGTCAAGTGGAAAAAATACTCATTCTTTCTTATGTTTGTTTTTCAAGCTAAAAAATACTATGAAGGGAAGAGCGCTTCTCTTCATTCTTGATGTTGACATTTTATTTTTATAAAAAAAACCTGATTCACCTTTGTATGTGTATGCATATAATATGTTTTGCAAGGAAATGTTTCTTAGTTCTTCCATAGCATTCAATCTATCATATATTTATCACAACTAGTTTTAGACATCTACATTTGTGCATGTGCCTATTGTGCAATTTTAGTTTTGCAAACTTTTGTCCACATAATGTTTATTTGAATTATTAAATGTAACTAGAATATGAAGACAGTACCTAGCCTATACACTGAATACTCATAAGAAATTAAAATGATTAAATTAAAAAAAATACACAGCATAATATATCTAAAAAGGAATAAAGGAATGATACTTATTCATTATCACTCTCGATAGTGTTACCATTGTTCAAGCATATAACCTCTATCATACCTACAATTTACATATGCAAAGTTTAACAAAAATCATACAAATTTCAACTTAAATCACTTGATAAACCAAAAAATCAACCATAAAAATTATGAATTCGACTTAAAATAGAAAAAGTAATGTTAGGTTTCAAGAAGTGTGAATTAACATATATGAAATCTTGAAGTAAAATTTAAAAAAATATATAAATTTCGGCTTAAATCACCTGATCAACCCAAAAAGCAACCATGAAAATGTTGAATTCGATTTAAAACAGGGAAAAAAAGAATAACAGTAAACTTAGATTTAGAGGATTAAGAATTTACTCGTATCATATGAAACACACATTTAAGAAATCAAAATGACTAAATTTAAAAAATGTGCTTAGCTACAGCATGCGGGTCTATGACTTTAGTTTTCTTTCTTTTTTCTTACTCCAATTCTAAGAAAATTAACTAACTAGTTGATCCTTTAGTGTTCTTGTATTTGATTCATTAATTGTCATTGCCTTCATGTGTACAAACTGTTTCACTTTGTCCAAGGCACTTTTTATTTTTCTGTAGTCAGGAAAAGAAAACCATTAGTCCAGGTCTTATTTATTCATGGTGTAGAACAGGTCTAAACTTAAAGCACTCACTTGCACGTTGTGATGTTTTCTCCTTGACTTTCACCTTGGAATCTTGTTGCTTTCAAGATTTGCATGTTTAACCTGCTTTTACAGATCAAAAAACTATTTGCTATCCAGATCAAATAACTATTTGCTCTCTATATCTTGGATGTGTACTAATAACAAAATTACTCTTATTTGCAAGTTTAACCTAAAAAGCACAAAAGAAGTAAAAATTTACAAATCAAATCTTGATCTTAGACTAGAACTCAAAGACGAATGTAAAGGCATGACTCAACCTATCCTCAACAAATACACGTTAAAAAATTTCAAAGATACATACATAGCAATATAAAGGAACATCAGCATGAAAGATTCACAATGCATCATTTTCTTTTTCTATTGACTGCATTAAATTTTTTCTTTATAGAAAGAATCAGGGTTTTAAATAGTAGTGGCATTGTGGTATAGTGGCTGCTATTTCATGGTTGTGCCATCTATCACCACCAATATTGAAGAAAAAACAGGGGAGAATTTCAATCTCGACCGTAGAGGCTGTGATCAGCCATCGCAAAATGGAATAACGGAGAATAGTGGGAATATCAGCCCATTATTCCCATTATACTCACTACTCTGTTTTTCGTCCCAAAAATGGCAGCAAAATTTTTTATTTCTTTTGTTCAAAATTTTGACCTCAGAGAAGCCCCCCCCCCCAAAAAAAAAAAAAAAAAACTTAATTCACACACCCAAATTTAGAATTTCAGCCTCAATTATCAACATCAACCAGCATAACACAAGTAATTGATTTGAATTTTAAAGGTGCATAAAATTGCCTTTTTTGTTGATTTTGTTTCTCATGAACATTCTGTTCTTGAGTATCTGTCTGGCAATCCAATTCCATGGTTCTGCAGTTAGGAGCAGTAGGGTGGTGGGCTACTTGGCTTGCAGGCTGCTAGCCCCTGAGCTTGGTGGTCAAACTGCCGAGTAGGAGAGGATGAGATGAGAGGAAGAGGAGAGCTTCTTGCTTGTGTCGGAGGTCTATGTGTTTGAGTTTGAGACATGATGAGAGAGACCGTGCAGAGAAAAGAGAAATAGAGAGTTGAGAAGAAAAAAGAGAGGAAGAGTGGACTGAGGGGCTGATGGACAAGGCGAACATGGGAGAAAAGTAAAAGTGAAACATGTGTGGAGTGTGTGTGGATTGTGGGTGACTGGGTGGGTGGGCAAATGGGTGAAGGCCTTTTTGGGCCTGGGGAAGGGGTTGGGATTTTATTGTTTTAGTGGGAAATTTTGATTTAGGAAAATGGATGGAAAATTTTTATTGTTTTAGAGGCAATTAATTTAGGATAAATTTTTAGGGAGAAATTTTTGAATTGTGATTGAACAAACATTATTGTTTTTGATAATTGTAGGTTAGATGTTCAAAATGTGTTTATGATCAAGGAAATTTTATTATTAAATTTATATTACTTTATTATAATCTCAAAAATATTGTAAACAATTTTTTTATCAAGTAAATAAAAGACATGAGATATTATAAATTATTTTAAAAATAATAAATAAGAGTTTTTATTATTATAATTGTAATTATTATATTTTATAATAAATTGTGCAAAATTTAAAAAAATTCATGACCGCGATGAACGTAATAACTGCAATGGTCTCTGCTATATGTATGACTGTGATAAACGCAATGTGATCGAAAATACAACCGTAACCGCAATTTAAATCTCTGGAAAGAATATTAAAAAGGGTGGTGCAGAAGGAACATTGATAAAAATCACTCATTGTTAACACTGATCCACAAACTTACACAAATTTTGAACAAAAAAAAAAAAGGAATTGTTTAAAGCATGCAGTACAGGGGAAATATAGCAATTCTTTACTCATCATCCTAAAAGGAATTCTGAGCTCTGGTTGATGTCTTGTAGTCAGCAGTTGTATCAAATTTTAGTCTGAATGAATTAGTTGTTATGGTAATTCCACTTTTTCCCTTTTGAGATGCCTGCACCTTCTGTCAGCATTAGGATTATGCTTATGTTGCCCAACAGATTTCTTCATTCCTTGAAAGCTATACAAACCTGGTACTTGCCCATGTAGAGTTTGACAGCAGCTGCATGGGAAAGAAGTAAGTGATGGGCCAAGATAAAAGGCTCAGTTGGAGAAGTGGAAGCAAGCCATTGGCACTGCTAATGCTGTACCCATTTGGTTCATTCATAATCACCCAATGCTTGACTCAGTCACCAAACATAGTAAAGCAAAAATCTGCATAATCAACGTAGTTAAAAATTTGCACAATCAACATATTAAAAAAATCACCCATTAGATATTCATTGACTTGAATGTATACATTAATAACTATTTTTTATATCTCATAGCCATGGGATCATCTTGGAATGCTTGTAAAATATTTTCATTTAAAAGACAGAAGGTCAGTGGTCGCTGACTTTTGTTTACTGTCAGCCTGTTTTCTCTGTTGTTTTTTTGAAGCTAAGTATAAAAATTGGGACCTGATTTTGTCTGGTTTTTCTGTTTCTCTTAATTAATATACTATAAAAAGAAAAATTAATGAAATAATCATGATGTTTGAAAGTGTTTTTATAATTTCTTCTGTAACACAGATGAAAATGAAACATTACCTCCTGGAGGTGGAACCATTCTCTTCACCTGCTTTTATCTCGTCTCTAAACTTGGAAAAAACAAAAAAAAAAAAAAGAAACTGAAGGTGTTAAATGTCAAATACAAAAATAAGAAAAGAAAGATGAAAAGGAAATTTGGAAAAACTGACCCCAAGCAGCCCAAATCTATTGACAGATCTTGAAGTTGTTGGAATCTAAATCGGTGGAAAAGAAAAGCAAGGAGAAAGGAATAACATAGTGAAATTTCAAGTGGTTTTAGGCTGTAAAAATGGAGTTTTGGGGGTTTGAAACCGTGGGATTGAGTTTTAGATCCATTAATTTTTGGCTTGGTTTTGGAAAATCCAACTTGATATACATGAAAAGGGGATTGAGAGGAGTTTGCAGGTATTTTTTATGAGATTCTGTCGCTGATGAACTGAGCCGGCAGGAGCAGGCAAAGGAAAGGGGGCAAAGGAGAAGCAATCCGCTTCTTTTAGAGAGAGGGAGTGAGGGAATGAAGAGTTTAGAGTGAGTGAGGAGAGGAAAAATCAACCAAAAAAATTACGCATTTTATAATTGTGTTAAACAGTTTGTTTAGGGAAGAAGAGGAGAAAGGAATTTGGTAAAAAAAAAAATGTAATAGGGTGCTGACACCTGGCATTTTGAGGAGTGGTCAACAACAAGTCAACCTATGCAAGATTATATATTAGATAGCTAGAAAATCGAAGTATGTTTGTTAAGAAAATCATGATTTGATCTATAAAAAATTGAATAATATTGATCATTCATCACAAGGTCTTTGGATTATGCCCTTTACTTCGTTTTAGACTTTTAGTGTTGTAGCAGAATAGGGACTACTCTATTAATTAATAAATTTAAAACTATTTTTATAACAATAAAATGCCATATGTTAGAAAGTTAATCAAAAATAAAAAAAGGTATTCTTTGTTTTTATAGAAATTTTACACCCTTTTAAGCTACTTTTATTTATAAGAAAGATCTAGATTTGGTCTTACAACTTTGCCTTTGCTTTTCAGGCGCAAATAATGCTAGGAATGGTCACCTCACAAGTGGTTCGTTCCATTGTCTCAAAAAAATTGATTGTTGGTTGTCCACTGCTTTGACATTGTGTCACATAAAGTTTTTTTTTTCATTGATTTTGCAGTTGCAGATGCCAAACATTCGACAATCTCCTGCTCAACCAGCACAGATTCCATTACAAGATGGCCAGCATGGTCAGCAGCCAACAGCACAAACTCTTTCTCTGGAGGTGCAGACTGGCTTGATCCCTAAAGTACTAGAAGGTCAAATGTCTGCTGGGCCTCTTAATTCTTTAGCTCACAACCAATTTTCTGCTACCCTACAATCAATTTTGCAGCCTCGAACACAGATTCCACAACATTCCAGCAATCATTTTCTACCACAAGCTGCTGCACATTCTGTAGTTCCCAAACTTCCTTCCGTAAACCCCCTTGTTAGACCACAAATTCAGGTGGCAAATTCCTCATCTTTGAACCAGCAATTGCAGCCGTTATTGCCACTCTCAGGACAGCTTGGAACTACTAATTTAAGTCACAGCAATCGGATGGTTCAGCCAAATGCAATCATGCAGTCAGTTCCTTTGCCTCGTCCTCCCTTATCAGATGCTGGCTTCCAGGTGCAAATGCTTCTTTCACCAACTTGAGCTAGTGCATGCCCCTAGAGAAGTTTTAGTAATGGTTTTGTTAATTACAATCATCTTTAGATTGAATTCTGCTTTGTTGCTTCGAATATAGCTATATACTCTTGAGAGAAATCATCAAATCATTGGATTTGAAAATTTAAGAATATACAGTCCCACGATTCATAAGATCTTATTTGTTAGGGTAGCTTGTTTTGAATATTTAATAAGAAGAATTAGTGAGTTCCATTATCTTGAAATTCAGTTTGTCAAATCTCACTGAAAGATATTAAATTCATGTTGGGCATTACGAAACTCTCTTTCTCCACGCAAATGCACGACAACAACAACAACAACAACAACCACAACAAACTTAGCCTTATATCCCATAAATCTGGGGTCGGCATATGAAAGGCCAAAAAAGAAATCATGTTAGGTTGTAGTTTTGAATCTTCTTGCACCACTCATTTCTATCAACAACCTTTTTATCTATTTCCTTAACCCACATAGCATTTCTTATTACTTGCATTTATGTCTTTAATGGTCTATCCCTAGAAGTTTTCATCTCTCCTAAATTTAGAAACTCATTTCTCCTAATTGGTGTATAGATAGGCTTATGTTTCATATGTTCAAATCATCTCAAATGGCCCTCTTTTATCTTTTCCTCAACTTGGACTACACCTAATTTTCCTCAAATCTCTTCATTTATGATTTTGTCTCTTCTAGTCTTACCACACATCCATCTAAGCCCCCCTTCTCTCTCTCTCTCTCTCTCTCTCTCTCACACACACACACACACAAACACACACCCAAAAAAAAAAAAAAAAACTGGAAAGATGGTGAGTGGTCTCCACTGAACAATATATTTTCTCTTTCCTATTTGTTGAAAATAGCGATGGATCCTTGCCCCTCCTTCACTCCCCTTTCCCTCAAACAAGTGCCGCTCCTCTCTCGTGTGATCTTCTTTAGTATGTAGCAGCTAGACTGTACCCTTTTCAAATTGGTAGAACAATGGTTTTATTGCTTTTAATATCCTAGCATTTCGAATTAACTTTTTTTTTTTTTAATAACAGCCTGGTCCCTCATTAACACCAGGCTTTGTAGAGAAATCAAACACGGTTAACTATCCTTCAGAAGCAATAAGTCGGCCATCAAAAATGGTGAAATTAGATGATGGAAGGAGCAGTTCTTTGTCAACAGAAGGTTTGAATATGTCCAATGTAAGTGGATTCAGAACATCACAAACATTTGGTGTTGATTCAACGCCTGTCAATCAAATACCTAGAGCAGAAGAGGTGCAATATGCTGAAAAGCCAATTTCTCAGGTAATGTATTATAATTAGTGATATCAAAAGTTACAACCATGCATACTGTATTGTGAGTTGATTTTTTCGTGCATCAGTGCTTCAGCCTTAAATGGCGGGGGGTCATTCTTGTAGGTTCAAGGGCAGGGATTAGATATGTTTTATGCAAAACAAATATAGTTCCTTAAATGATACCTTTTCTTGATTTAGTTCCTTGTTGGGCCTAGATGTCTGTATTGCCTTCCTGATGTCTATTTAATCATTTTGGCAATTTGCAGAATTATAAATATGAAGCGTTGAATAAAAAATTACACATAGTAGACATCTTAATTAAGAAGTGAATATCATCTTACTAATAATATGCATAAAAATGGTTATGGTTGTAATTTAGATGTGGTACTACATTAAACTATTTTCTGTGATCTCATTGTTCCAAAGTCTTGAATCTGCGCTGTTTTAGTTGTATCTAATGGCTGGGAAAGTGAGGCATACACAAGTTAAACTTGTTACCAAATGTAGGGTTTTTGAAGTACTTACTGTCAATTTAAAACCATCATGTCCAGTTTGTTTTGTCTGGTTATCAAATGTTAACTTTATCTGTCAGTTTCCTTTAACTGTAAATCTCTCTACTTTTGGAGAGATCTAGAAGTAGGTTAAGAAAAACAAGTTGAGGGATACTTTCTTGTGTCTTCTCTTCTTTTCACTATTGAGCAAATAAGGGAGACCTAAGACTTCTCTCCATATCTGTTGCCCCAAATTCATTTTAAGGTTGCAGTTTGGTCTTTTGAGGACATTGTAGATGCTTGGAGCCTTCTTCTAGAATAAGTTTGTATGTTCACGTCAGATATTCACAAGGACAAGCACTAGTTAACACCTCTACTCTCTTTTCTGTGGGAGGTTTTGAGAGCAATGGTTGGACAGATACAATAGGGTTTTCCAATATTTTTTCACTGTAAGGTGTATCTATGTGATAGTACACATAAATGGCTGATCAGAGATATATGCTAATAGTTTCAATATTTGTAAACAAGATTGCTATGGTTGACTCTGTCAGGTGAACTCTGGTTGAGTTATTTGGAAGGTCAAACATTAGTTGTCATCCCACTGGAACTTGAAAAATTCTTAAAATGTGGTGAGTCTATCAATATGATAGTTGAGTATCTATGTCAAAGCTGAACTATCAAAATTATAGTTTTGATCTTATTTTTCTTGGTTTAGTTCTTCCCCTTGGGGTGCAGGGTGATGAGAGCTTTCGGAGTTTTGGTTTGATAATTTTTTTATTTTATCTCTTGTTTCTGCTATGTTAAAGGACATCTACATTGATCATTACTTCATTAATTCTCAAAGATCTGAAAGTACTTATCCTATTAGTGTCGTTGAAATAATGTTTTCTTCAAAATACTTTGGTAATAAATAGCCAAATGTGTGCTTAATTGCTTGACAACCCTATTCGATGGGAGGCAGTTGTGGTAAATAATTAGGTTTGACTGCGAACATTTAAAAAACCTGCAGTAAGTTTCTACAACCAAGTTATTATAATCATGGCACTGGTCATCTATAGTATCATGGTGGAAATTGGATTTACAAACTGATGTGAAGTCTGCGAGTCTCGGTCCTAATTATGTCATTGTGTCTTTGACCACAACAGTTTGCCAATATGAAAGTAATGCTATGCATATCTATAGGAGAAATACTCGGCATTTTATATATATAAATTTTGCATGGTTTTGGCAATTCATAGCTCAATGTGGTTGATTTTATAATAACCGCATAACTCATGTTGAACGAACCAGTGCTATTGTGGTTTCACATGATCTACCTCACACCATTGTTTCTCTTTGTCAGCCACAGCTCGCCCCTGATATGGAGTCTGTCTTACTGCAGCAAGTGCTAAACCTAACACCAGAACAGTTGAGTTCATTGCCACCTGAACAACGCCAACAGGTCATTCAACTTCAAAAGGCACTTCGGCAAGATCAGATGCGGCCATCATAGCAGGCAGACTTCCAATGCTACTATTGTCAGCAGAGAAGATCTCTGTTGTCTATTCATTAAAATTTCTCAATGCTTGTAACATTATTATTTTTTGCAGAAGAATATGATTCTAAATTTGATAAGCAAAGGAGCATGTATCGTCAATGTAACATTTAAAAGCTTGTTACGAGAATAGAAAAAGAATCAGTGAGAGGAAAAGGAAAAAGAAAAAGAAAATTGTCTTTATCTTCTCATTCTCTGACGTTTGAGTCACTTGTTAGTGGTGTACCTTTTGCCTTTAACTTCTTGTCTGGGGCTTACCTGGCGTGGGGCCAAAGTGATGTGGTTTTCTAGCATGAAAAAGAGAATCTAGACCGCTTGCCGGATTAGCTAAAATTTTAACCCAGTTTCATTTTCATTCTTGTTCTTGGTTAATTCTGGATGTTGTGTGTTGATTATTTCTCTCATTCAACTTAAGCAGTGATCAGCAGCCGTGGATTTCGAAAGTAGATTCTTATGAATGCAGCTGACATGTCGGAAGATATTTTTCGGGAGTACTTACCATGAAGTCTTAAGTCTTTTTGTCTGGCCATATCTCTTAATCTTTCATGGGAGCTTTTATTTGTATATTTTTTCAGATCGCTTTTTTTTTTTTAATAAATTATTTTTAAGTAAAATTGTTTAATTTTTTTTAATTTTTCTTATTTTTAAGTTTTGGAATTTATAAATTCAAAAAATTTTAAAAGTTTTCGAATATAGATATCGAAAACTTTTTAAAGTTTCTTATTCAAACAGTTGAAATTATGAAGAAATTTAAAGACCTGTATATTATAATCGAATGCTTTTTTTATTAAAATTATAATTATTACTTACTAATTTATAAATCAGATTGTAATTATTTGAAACAAATTGTGCTTGTATTTTTGGAATATCTTGAAAATTCATTAGGATATAAGATTTTCTTTCTTCAACTGAAATTTTGAGTTTTATTGCTATCTCAAAAAATTAAATAAATATTTCTTGGCTAGATCAAGATGATATTGATAAAATGGATTTTGTTGAAAACCCTAGATGAGTGTGTGATTAGTAAAATCTAAGATTTTTATGGGAAAAGTGATTCTGTCAAATCATTCATGGATTTTGAAAAATTGTAAATTTTTATGTTTAATTTAGTATAAAAAAAGATAAAATTTTTGTATTTGGTTCGAGGAATCTAAGATTAACTAATGAATTTATTTTATTATGTTGCCCTTAATGACACATTAATAACATGCGTCATTTATAAAATAATTAAATAACTGATTTTTAAAAATATTTTTATAATATATTTATTTAACTTGAAAGCAACAGTTTGTTTAAATTAATTTATATATTTATATTTATACAACTTACTTTTTTTATTAATAAATTATTCATATATAAATTTAACATGTAAGATTTATATTTTTATTTATTTAACATAAAAAACTTAGGACTTTTTATTTCAAAGGTAGTGTTCATGAATAAAAAATACGATTAATACAATCAACATAATGGAATGTACTTCAAATATTAAAATAATAATAATAATAACAATAATATTAATAATAATAATAATAACTATTGTCGTTTACAAAAATTGTAATTTAATACATAAAAAGATTAAGTATATTAATATCAACGGTAATTTATTTTAAAATAGACTGCTTTTGAGCCGAAAACATCATCCATATGATTATTTGTTCATAATAGATCTATTCTTTAGCCACTTGTGTTGCATCATCTTGTGCTTATTAACCATGGCAACTTTGAGAGAGAACTGTATAAAGTTAATATATGCATCCATTACCTCGCAAACAAAGTGAACGAGAGTTTGGGTTGCTAAGTATATCCATTCGTCAAGTTTCTTCGTCATAGGAAACAAAGCGAAAGCCAAAGGCAGAGATCCTTTTATTGTCGGAATTTTAACAAGCACTAGCTTGGCTCTTTGTTTGGGAGAAACCATTTTCTCCTCTGCTTCATTTCTCTTCGCGTATTCGGTTAAATGGGGGAAATGAGTAAATAAATTCTGGTGGGTTTGCGGAAGGAGTGATGGATAGCATCACAGCTGTAGTCTTATTTAAAAAATTACGTTTGTTTCTAACAATCATCGTCTATTACATTCTATTACACTAATGTATGACCTCATCTTTTCATGCAATAGATTATAGTTCTTTTTCAAACGTAGTCATATATCTTAATAGATTACACTTTTATTTTTCAAATGTAGTCTATATAATAAATAATTAAACCAGAACTAATATTACAAAGTATGCTCATATGTTTATCTTTAAAAATATGATTATATTTATATATTTCAAATAATTAGAATATTATTGACATAATAATAATAATAATAATAATAATAATAATAATAATTATTATTATTATTATTATTATTATATTTTTTAAATAAATTCAAATGAATTGTATAAACTTAAATACAAAGTTAGTTTAGTTGAAAAAATTCAATAAATATAAATTAGTTTAATTTAATTAATTTCTATTTTGTAAAAAATAATATTTTTTATGCGTGTTAATAGGCGTCAAATGTTGAGTTTGGAAGTCTTTGTGTGTTAGATTGGGTTTTGATTTATGATGTAATTTTTATTATATTAAAGGATATAATAGATCATAAATATCAATTATTCAGAATAAAAGTAAGCTAAATTTTGCATTCCTCGTAATTTTAAAAAACTTTAAGGAAAGGAAGACTTATGATTTCAAGCTATTTTCACGATTAGTGATATTGTTGGTAATGTTATATTTTGAACGCAAAGGGTTAAATTTTAAATTTCGTGAATCAAATACAAAAATTATATTAGAAAAAAAGTATAATTCTTTGGAGGAATCTTAAATTCCGTAAACTAAATATCCTGAATGTAACTTTTTTAGATTTATCATATATAAAAATTTGATAAATTATAAAATTTATCAAATATATATATATATATATATCTAAAAACTTTTAAAAATAGGATAAAAAATCAAATAATTTCACTTAATTAAAAAAATGAGGATAAATAGGTGAGTGAGATTCCTAAACCCTTCAGGGGATTTAAAAAAAATGATTCTATTAAGGATTTTTTATCAATTGCTATAATGAAAAAAATTATTACTTAAAAATAAAAGTAAAATGTAAATTTTATATAGAGAAAATCGGAATTACCATTTCGACTTCCATAAAACATTTGACCTAAAAAAAAGAGTAAGAGACTTTGGTACTTTCTTGGGTCTGCCTCTGTGATTTTGCCTTCCTTTATTAGAAAATAATTTTCCTTCTTAATTTTTCTTTTACTTCCCAGCGTCACCAAACATCTTGATGATTTGTTTTCAATTTTTATGATTCTCATTATTTATTTGAAAGTTTAAAAATAACAAGAAAAGTCTTGTGCTGTTTTTTATTATATAAATAGCATTTTGTTTCTTTTCCTCAAATTAGATTAATAAATTAATAAAGTTTTTAGTAAGGTTTGGAGGGTTAGAAATGAAAGAAAGTATTGTTTTTGTTTTTATGTTTTTTTTTGGAATGTTATAAAATTCTAAAGTTGCTTACATATGAATTGATGAATATAGAATTTTGAGGTTTTAGGTTCAAATCTCATAGTGTGTTAGTTTGGTTATTTAGTTATATTCTAGTTAATTAGTTGATTATTCAGTGATTGTTACTTGATTATGATATAATATTTGATTATTCAGTTGATTATATGAATGTAATAATTGATTAGTATAACTTTAAAGAAATATAGAAAGATAGGTGATTTGTAGATATGTTCAAGGATTGGTTATCCGTCCGAATCCAAAAGTCCATCCAAAATTTAAAAAGGCTTGGATATGAATATTAGATTCAATCTGAGTTTAAATTGAAGATTCATTTAGAAAGTTGATCAAGTCTTACGGATAACATTTAAAACCTAGACCCAACCTAATACTTATTTATGTATTTTAGATTTATAATTATATTATATAAAAATAAATTGATAATTAAAAAATATATGTGTACACATTAATATGTTATGCCAACATGTATCTAATCCTTTCCAAACACCAAAATAAATTAACAAAGTCAATTTTAAGCTTTTTTTTATTATTTATTTCGTCATTGTTAATATTTATTATAAATTTATTCTTATTTTTTATTTAAAATTTGAAAAATAGGTGGATTTTGATGGGTTTTGATTAGAGATTCATGGGCCAAGTGGGGTCATGTAAGGTTCAAGCTAATTGGGGGGGGGGGTATACTTGTTATTAATAACTTATATACTTACTTAGCCCTAGCTTGTCTTGATATTTTGGGTTTCAATGATAGTGTTTGTTTTGAGTTTCGAGATGAGATGTAAACCCTGTAACCACAAGAAGGAGAAAGAGAGCGATTTAAGGCAAAGGCTGAGAGTTTTCCCAGCATTTGCGCTCCAATGCTCAAGTTAGAGGTTAGTCAATGAGGAAATAGGAAAAAAAAGTATGAAAGTAGAAGAGTATGATACATCTTGAAAATAACTAAATGGTCCTATTTATAGTTAAGGGTGAAAGGTTTTGAGCTAACCTAAGCTATCCACAGTCAATCCTATGGTCAGGATGATTTGGCAGTCCAAGTTGACTTAGACATTGATAATCCATTCAAAGAGTGACAAGTTAGCATAAAAAGGGGTATTTCGGGTAGATTGATGAGGTTGCACTATAAATGTCAAGTCAGGCCAAAAGTCATAAATACCTCTGACTGTTTGCTAGCAACCTCTAATAGGGAAAAAAAACATTTTGCCTTTTGGACCTAAGAATGTCCCTAACATTCTATCCCCCCACTAAGCAATCTGAGTATTAGACTATTGAGTTAGTCTTAGTTGATTTATTTTGTGACCATCTGATGCATGCTTGATGGTGCCAAGCTTAATCTTGAACATGGGCTTAGAAATTTACACTTAATTAGTCCAACCTAAAATCACCAAAGTGAATGATGCCGAGGTGGATAAGGGTTAGGCTAGACAAATTTATGAGTGATTACCGATGTGACTTATACGTTTTATGCTGTATTTGACCATGATTTTTTTGTCTAGGCAAACGTGGAACCTATATTTTTTCTTGCAAAATTTTGATTTTTGACCTGACAAATGATTGACTTGGCAAGTCATAGGTGGGTTGATTGATGTAGGTGGGTAAAATGGTTGATTTGCCCTTATGTCATCTAAAAATGGCTTTTAATGAAAATATAGGAAATTAGGTGGTTAAAATTCATAGCTAG